TTTTAGCCCAGGTGTTAATTCCAACCCCACTTCAAAATGATTTAATAATAATAATTGTTTTTGTTGATAGATAAGCAAAAACTACAATGTATGGAATACAATATACAGTGTGTAACAACGAAAACTCAACAGAGCCGTTTTTGGATATAAAAAGTGAGATTTTCAAATAAAGCTCAGACACGTCGATTTCTAATTGAAGGGGGACACCTTTCACACTAATCAGATTTTTTGTAGTACGCACCCCCTCGGAGCGGTGCGTCCGACGAGGGAAAATAGGTCGAGTGGCACCTTGTTTTAAAGGTCTTTCGAATACCTTTACAATTCTGTTGAAAGAGCAATTTTGTAACGATTAGTTTTTGAGATAATTTGAAGTTGAAATTGTCATGTTAATAATACATTAGACAGACCACTCGGTAACTTGTATGCCTGAATAAAAAAATTTTCGAGCAGTTCTTTGGTAAATAAAATCCCTTTTTTAAAATCAATACCCACTCCTCTTCTTTCAGTTTTCAATAGTACATCGTTCGATTGTTTTGTTTAAACTGGTCGTGTATTGTTATTTGTTCAAAAATGCCTTACACTATTGCTGAAAGGGTTTCAGTTATTGCTTTATTTTTTGGCAACGACCAAAATGCTAATAGAACATCAATTTTATTTAACGAGCAAAACCCTGGTAAACACCTAAGCAGAAATCACGTTCTGGATTTGGTCACAAAATTCAGGGAGACAGGTTCGGTTTTAAATAAGAAAANTCTTAAAAAAGTTAGAATTACCAAACCACCCGCTCCTTGGCTCACTCAAAATCTCAGACTTCTTATGAAAGAACGTGATAAAGCCTTTCAAAAATTCAAAAAAACTAAATCTGTTAATGATCGTATGAGGTATAAAGAATTGAGAAATTATACCTTGTCAATAGTTAGAACTGAAAAAAGGACATATCTCAAGTCTGTCTGTTCTGAAAAAATACCACGCAAAACCTGGAATGCTCTTTCTAACCTCAATGTTCGTTCAAAAAAACAATATTCATTACCCAATCACCTCTCGAATCCCGATGAAATAAACAACTATTTTGCCCAATTCGTACAAAACGTTTCTAATAATTGTGATGAAAATATTGAATTTTATAGCAATAATTATTTAATCAGGCAAGATAACTTCTCATTTCGATTCGCTACTGAAGAAGCTATTCATGAAATCCTGAATGATATTAAAAGTCAGAATGTTGAAACTTTGTAGCCCGTTTATAGAGAAATATATTACGCATATCATCAATTGTTGTTTTGAACGTTTATATTTTCCAGACTTGTGGAAAATGGCAAACCCATTCCCAAGAATAATGATCCAGCTAGTTATTCTGATCTCAGAATTATCAGTGTACTTCCAACCATGAGTAAAATTTTTCAAAGAGTTATTTATTTACAAATCAATGAATATTTCAATACCAATAATCTGTTATCGCCATCGCAATGTGATTTTAGGCAGAGTTTTAGTACGGCTACAGCTCTTGCTAATATTACACAAGACATTGTTGAGGGATTTGATAAGGGAATGATTAGTACTCTGGTTCTACTTGATCAATCATGAGCTGATTTGCATGAAACTTAAATATTATGGTTTTGATAGTGCTGCCTTATTTCTCCATCTGATCTTATTTACTTGGTCGATCTCCTTACCTCTTGATATTCTATCAGGAGTACCACAGGGTTCCATTTTGGGACCTTTATTGTTCATCATTTATACTACAGACATTATCTAGTCCATCAAGAAATGTAAAATACAGGCGTATGCTGGTGACATACATACATACATGCACTTCAAAACCGATGAGTATGCCAAGGCACAAAATCTCTTCAACACTGATCTTGATTTGATCAATGGGCTATCAAGTGAACATGATTTGAAAGTTAATCCTAATAAAACGATGATGATGCATTTTGGATCGCAAAAGAATCGTAAATTTGCAGAAAATAATTTCCATTTAGAACTAGGTCATACTTTCTCGACTCCTGTCAATACAGCTAAAAACTGAGGGGTGATGCTTGACACTGATCTTAGAATCACTAGTCATGTTAAAAATTTAATGAAATAAAGCTTAAATGTCATTGAAACTGTTATACTGTAATAGTTTTATTTTGAGCCAACCTCTAAAAAGAATGCTCTGTGATAGTTTCATTTCAACTACTGTAACTTCATATATGGGCCATACTCATATGATTCAGATAAAATAAGTAAGTATTATTCAATTTCTGAAGCCTTAAAAAAACTCCCGCTGGCTCAATATGAAAAACCATATGATTCATCATTTGGGTTGTTTTGTTCATAAATTGATTACCCTTCCCCATTCTCCCCTTTTAATACAAAAATTAATTCTGCGTGAATATATTCACTCAAGAAACATTAGACATAAAAACAAATTAACTATGCCACAACATCGCACTGCACAGTTTCAGAGATAATTTCTTTTTGGTGCTGTAAAACTCTATAATTCATTGTCCGAGCAATTGAAGACATTCAATATCAGGAAATTCAAATACAAATATGAACATTTTATCTAGGATAATCAGTAAAGTCAACTTTTGCTCATTGGACAAATTAATAAACAACAGATCAATTAAATTCAATTATTTATCAACTCTCTTCAGAGGGTAATCACAAATTATTATTTTTATTTCCTCACACCGATGGAGCATTCATTACTTGGAGGATCTTCGAAGTATGCAGACGTATGTTTGTACATAGACAAACAAGACATAGACAAGCACATGATGAAACCCTGTACCGTGCATTCTCTCTCTCTCTCTCACACACACACACACACACACAAAATCTCATATGAAAAAAAATCTGAAGATCCATGCACCAGACACTTCAAGGTCACATCGACTTGACTTCACTGAACAACAACAAAAAGCAAATAATACGTCATAGTGGTGGGGGGAGGCTTAGAACTGGATAAAAAATTCTGAACGATCCATGCACCAGAGCCTTCAAGGTCACATCGTCTTGACTTCACTAAACAACAACAAAAAAGCAATTAATACGTCATAGTGATGGGGGAGGCTCAGAACCGGCTCAAATCTCCTACTGACTGGATAGTGTCCATAGTTTCATCTACGGGGTTCGTGACACGGAGCTGCAGCAGTCATTGAAGATGGCACGTCATAAAACATTGAATGAAGCTATCATTTATGCCTAGAATTTGAAGCTGCTAAAAATGCTTCGCGACAACAACGAAAAGTTCTAGTGAGGGCCATCAATGAAAAGGAAGACGAAGAAATAGATCGACTCATGGTAGGTTTTGAAGAACTCTTTAAGAAATATTTGATGAATGGAACTGCACTCAAGGCAAGAGGATGGCCTAAATATTACAACTGTGGTAGAGAAGGACATTTAGGGCGGGACTGTCGCTCTCGTTCAACATCCAACGAGAGAAGAGACTGGCGTTCGGGATCACCTGAACTAGAGCGTCGGGTTCGGAAAACTAAATCCAGCCAGTGTAAGGGGGGGGGGGTACATTGACTGCTGCATTCCAAGCCCCCAGGTATTCGATTTCCATGATTGGACGCAACAGTAACAGCTTAGTTGTCGACGGATTTCTAAATAATCATCAGTGTCTTTTCACCATCGATAATTGAGCAACTAGGTCAGTAATGAGAGCCGACATTTCCGACAGAAGCAGTTTGAAGAATTTATCAGTAGTAACTGTTCTGGAAACAGTTATTGGAGATAGGTAAACTTAGGCTTGGACACTGCGAAATAGAAAATAAGGTATTAGTGGCCAACGTCGTCGACGGGTTCATTTTGGAACTAGACATCATGTCCCCCTACGGATTCGTTGTGGACATATGGAACAAACTGCTGAAAGTCGAAAATGAGGTAATTTTGCTCGACGTGCTCTCTCAGCCTCATGACAGCGCCAAGATGGTTATATTGGAAGATTCCAGAATCTCTCCTAACACTGAGAAAATTATTCAAGTGGAAATTACTGAACCTGCCGGTTTGAGTACAGCACTGATAGAGCCATCCAACGGCTCTGAATCAGGAATGATCGTGGCCAGATCCCTGATGAATGGTAACAATCAGAACATTCCAGTAAGAATAATCAATCCAAATAATAACAGGGTGACTCTCAAGAAAGGACAAGTATTAGGCACCTGCGAACCAATCGTGAAAATCGTCAGAATCAAAGAAGAAGTACCTTTACAGCGTACCCAACAACCCGCAAAAGAACTCATAGACTCTTTCAAGAAGACGTGGAGTCATCTGTCTGAAGAAGAACTATCCAAGGCCACCCGATTCGTCGAGAAAGAGAAATATATGTTTGTGAAGGACAAAATCATTGGTCGAACAGATCTAGTTCAACATCGCATCGATACTGGCGATGCCAAGCCCATACGCCAACCACCGAAACGTCTTTTCTTCGCAAAACAAGACGAAGCTGCATCCATTGTTGAGGACATGTTGGAGGAAGGAGTAATCGAGGAATCAAACAACCCTTGGTCGTCACCTGTTGTGTTAGTGACTAAGAAAGATGGACCGACGAGATTTTGCGTAGACTACAGGAGGCTTAATGACGTCACCAGAAATGACAGTAACCCTCTCCCTAGAATAGATAACACCCTGAATATCTTGGCAAAATGCAGATGGTTCTCAACACCAGATCTGAAAAGCTGATATTGGCAGGTGGCAGTTCGCCTCAAGGATAAAGAGAAGACTGCCTTTTCCACCTGCAATGGATCATACCAGTTTAAGTTTATGCCGTTCGGGTTATGCAACGCTCCCGCCACATTTGAACGCTTGATGGAGTTGATGTTGAGAGGACCTGACTGGAAAACATGCTTGGTCTATCTTGATGACATTATATTCACTGGAAAAAGTTTTGACGAAAATCTGTCAAACTTGAGTGTTTTCACGAGGCTACGGAAAAAGGTGAATTTCTTGAGACATGTGTTTCCAAAAGGAGTTGAAACAGATCTGTAGAAAATCAAGGCAGTGCAAGAATGGCCAACACCGAGGAGCAGGCACGACGTAAGAAGCTTTCTTGGACTCTGTAGCTATTACCGGCGTTTCGTGAAAGACTTTGGAAAAGTCGCCAGACCGCTGCATAGCCATACTGAAAAGAGAACACCTTTCGTTTTGGTCTCCAGACTGCCAGCAAGCATTTGCTGTCCTGAAGAGACATTTGACCATCAAACCGATCCTGGCGTACCCAATGGAGGAGGGCTTGTTTATAATGGACACGGATGCATCCCAACATGAAATAGGAGTAGTACTTTCCCAGGTACAAGAGGAAGAAGAAGTCGTCATCAGCTATTTTAGTAAGTCCCTGGGAACGATCGAAAAAAATGACTGCGTTACTAGAAAAGAACTCCTCGCAGTGGTCAAAGCGGTAGATCACTACCACTCCTTTTTATAATGCCGTAAATTTTTGATTAGGTCAGACCACTCAGCACTTCGATGGCTCTTCAACTTCAAAACATCAGAAGGACAAATAGCTAGGTGGATCGAAAAGTTACTAACTTACGATTTTGAAATTCAACATCGGAAAGGAAAGAGTCACGAAAACGCAGATAGCCTCAAAAGAAGACCATGCTGAATGCAAATTTTGCCAACGACAGGAGGACAAGGATACCCAGCTACCAGAAGAGGAACTTCCCAACAGACGTTATAAGGTAAAGGGCAGAGACTCCTTTATGGACATCTCTGATAGGGAGATGAGCTCCCCTACCTCCCGCCGCTTCGGGTTCCCTCTGACCCGAAGGGTAGCAACCTGTAAGGATCCCTTGTCCAGGGATACAGACAGACAATTTGAGGAATCACCTGACCATGGTGTGGTACGGTCGTTAACAGCCTCTGAGAGTGACACTACCTTCCTGACGAGGCAAGACATCATCGTAGCGCAGAAGGAGGATCCTGTCTTGAAAACTGTTCGAAAATGGATTGCCAAAGGAGTGACGCCTGAATGGCAAGAGATTTCCAAGCACGGCCAGCAGGAAAAGGGTTACTGGCTCCAATGGGACTCCATGAGCATTCAAGATGACCTACTCACTCGGAAATCGAAAGCCCGAATGGAAGAACCCACATATTCCAGATGATCCTTCCTAAGACGTGTATCTCGAGTATCCTTGAACAGCTCCACGATGGTCGCACTGGAGGGCATTTCGGAGTAAATAGAACTCCAGCGGGAGTGAGCGAGAGGTACTATTGGATCAATTTCCGTCGAGACATGGAAGAATGGTGTTAGCGCTGTGACCTGTGCTCTTCGAGAAAGGATCCGAAGACAAGGTAAAGAGGAAAGTTAAAGCAGTACCTCAGTGGGTGCCCTTTCGAGAGAATCGCAGTAGATATTTTGGGACCACTTCCCATGACCACATCCGGTAATAAGTACCTTATGTTCATTTGAAAAAGCTAATGTTTTAGCGAAACATGTTATGATTATTTTCAATAAAGTTAGTGGAGATCAAATCGTTTAAGTGTAGTTTGTGAAAGTACCTTATGGTTGTGATGGACTACTTTTGCAAATGGCCTGAAGTAGTAGCCTGACTCAACCAAGGGGCTAAAACGTTAGCAGAAGCCCTGTTGCTGCAGAATGTAATTGCCAGACACGGAGTACCCCATGAACTACACTCTGATCAGGGCCACAACTTCGAATCGAATTTATGGAAGGAAATTATGACTCTATTGGGAATAAAGAAGACAAGAACACCTGCCTTCACCCACAATGCGATGGAATGGTCGAGAGGCATAATCGCACTATCAATAACTACCTCTCGATGTTTGTCTCCGAAAACCAAAGAGACTGGGATAAATTGGTTCCTCTTTTTCTGTTGGAAGTTCTGTGGGAACTGAAGCTTCCGATAGATGTATTGTATGGCAGTCCTTTCAGAGTATGTGAATGACCTGAAGGAGATACTGGAAATTGTACACGAATTTGCCAGGACTGAATTACAGGATGAAAATAAGATTCAACAAAAAGTCGCTGCCATTGAGCTTCAAGGAGGGCGTTGCAGTGTGGCTGTACCAACCCCAACGTCGGAAAGGTTTGTGTCCCAAATTGCAGAGACCATGGAAAGGACTTTACTTGATAGCCAAAAAGAAAAACGATATGGTCCGCTGACTCCAATTGTCACCCAGAAGCAAGCCTAAAGTTGACCAAATAGAGAGGCTGAGTCCTTACATGGGTCGTGATGTTGTTCGGGGCGAACAACCTCAGGGATGTGCGAAGAAGAAAACCGCTTATACTTCTGTATGGAACTGAATGGTTTACGTTTTGAACCTTTCATATGATGATTACATTTTAGGTGATGAAAAATAAAAATATCTTGATAAAACTTAGTTTTCATTAAAACTTCAACAACACTTGATTGATCTTCAATTTCAGTACACCGGTGTATTTGGGATTGAATTTCCTTCAAAATGATGTATCACAAATATAGTAGTCCCATTGAAAATTCTGAAGTAGGGGGTGCTGCGGATTAGGAGGTTGACAACACAATAATGATGAATTTGGTGAAAATGTTTCCCTTCGAAATAAAAATCGACGGGTCGGAGCGATTTTCAAGTTTTTTCACGAGTTCGCAGATTAAGGGGGGTGACATGTTTTAGCTGGGACACACTGTATGTGTGAACTTGTTAGTTATTTCGTAAAAATAAGCAATGCCGTATAAAAATAAGTTTATATATTTTTCCACAAATTGCTTGCATTTTTTGAGCTTTCGTTTAGTTTTTTTCATGATATTCCGTTTTTGTTTTCTGGATAAGTTTGTCTAGCATTTTTCGGTAGTTGATAAAAAAATTGACTTGACTAACGAATCAGTAATCAATTTTTTTGTTTTCTTTTCTCTTTTTATCTTGGTGTAATATGTACATTCTTCAAGAGTATTTTGAAATATATCAACAAAATTTTCTGCAAGTGTATTAATATCATTGATTTTCAGTGTTTCGAGTTTGGAGGCCGTCGTAGTTTGGATACAGTTCCAAACCATGACAGCCTCCAAACTCGAACGAAGATCGTAACACTGAAAATCTTGGCCGCGAAAGCCTTTATTATTAATTTAACAATATCATTGATTCTTCATATATTTTGTGAATCAATGATTTTTATTTCTTCAATGAACGTGTTTCTGCTCAACTTTTGTACTCATTTTTTATTTTGTTTGATATGATTTATGTTGGTTATGAATTGAACAAGTACTGTAAAGTTATCCGTTATATCTGTTTTCATTATTTTGTGAAGAGGTTTTTATGAATATATGGTCCAGATATGTGACACCTTGAATTGGCTCATCAATCAATGAAGTATACCCAAACTCCGCCAAATGCTTAATAAATCATTAATTTTATTGTTTTTTTTTCTAAAATAATGATATTTTAAAAAATCTGTTTTTCCGTTAACCAGCCGTCGCACCCCTACGAACGACAACCCTCAAAAGTCGAAACTTGTGCGAGCTAAGGACTTAAGAGGACTCACCTTTTAACGTGTGATTCCTAACACGGGCTTGAACCAGCGACCAACATGGCGGTCGATTCGAGTGAGTAAACAAAGCACCCACGTCGAACCACCCGGCTGCCGACCGACCGCCCAGCTACTGACCGCCCGACCGATCAATTTGAAGTTTACAGAACGTTCATTAATTTGTAATACCTATTTATCTGATATGAATCTAAATAAAAAGTTTCATCATTTGTTACTGGAGACACACTAAATTTTCTTTTATGAAAGAGATCAAGATCTTCAGATGATGTGGTGCTGCAGGTTTTTCCGGGTTTTCCTGCAGCTGAAAAAGCAAATGCGTCACTAGAATCAATTAAGTTGCCCCGGAGCGCCAATTAATTTTTGTTGTTCATGATTTCATGATTTGTATTACTTCTGATAGATTCAATAAATTATTTCTATTTTTGGTACTTCAATATTTTGAATATAGGAGTTCATGATTTTTTGGTTGGTATATTATAGTTATACGAAATATTAATTTAATAGTTTCTTTATACATAAATAGCCGTATTTGGCAAAGTGTGAAATGAATAGAAAAATGGTATTTGTTAATCACCTTGCTTTGTTCTTTTTTTGGCCTTCTCTCATTTCCTGGATGTTTTCTCCTTGCAGTCTTCTTTGCGGAGTCAGAGCTATACAAGTTTGCAATATGTTTTCTTGTATTTTTTTGTGGTATCTCCTTTGTCCCTTTGGTTTGTGCCTCTGTAGGTTGGTGATTCACCATTTCTGTTTTATTCATTGCGATAGGTATGTTTTCCTCTGCTCCTGATTATAGTTCTCTTGGAGATGGAGTTGTTGGTTCACTTATTGTTCTTCTGGTTGGAATTGGTGACACATTATTATTTTTCCTATTTTCTTTTACATACCAAAATTTTTCTTTCTTTCAATCCCTTTTCGGTTAGATCTTCAGTTATGAAAACTTTTGTTCCCTTTAATTTTCGTCCGCTTCTCAATATGTGACTGTGCCTGCTCATGGTTTTGAGGTTCAACTCAGTACACCTCGAACTTCACTGTTTAAGAACATTTGGAGAACGGCGTTTATGTGGAATAAACTCCCTGAGAACGTTTTTCCAAATGGATTTAACCTCCAGCGATTCAAATCCAATGTGAATCGCTACTTTCACACAGACACCGCTCTAAGAGCTCCTTAAGGATTTTCCTGTAGTGCTTGTGTTTTGTCCTCAAAAAAACTTTCTTCTGATCTGGCTTTCAAACGAAATTTAGGTATATGTACCTTTCTTCTTCCCAATCTGAAAAATCTGTACATCCTATTTTGTTATTGTTAATTAAGTAAATTCTTCTATTAGTGTTTCTTGATTTTCTTCTGGTTTTTCTTTAACGCCATAATTAAATAAGTGATAACTAATCACTTTCACTTTTTTTTAACAGCTTTGATGATTTTTTTGCAAGTTCTTCCAGGATAGTAATAATTTTACTTAAACTCTGATTTACATTTGTCATACACATATTTGATGGTCACTTCAATTGACTTCAAGTCCTGAAATTATATTTTTTGTGTATTGTATAGTAATGTGAAAACATCGTAATTCCCTAGTTTTTCAATTCAATGTCAGGATCTGTACTCATTTAAAACCAATTTGTGGTAGGGAATATTCATTCGACTAAAGTTTTACAGCTAAGGGTTAACAACATTTCTGATCTAATGGTATGAATGACAACTAGGTTTTGGTTAGTGATGGTGAAAACAAAGTACGAAACGTGATATTTGCACTTCGATCGTTATATATAATACTGTCATTTATCTGATAAAAGGTTGGTAGGGTAACAAGGGTCATTTTTTTTTGTTTTTTCTTTAATAAAATTGATCCTTTTCTTTAAAAAAAAGATCATCTTACCAAACCAACCTTTTTTCAGAAAAATTATTGGATCACTAAATTAGTTAACTGTCATTTATATCGATCTCAAAGGATGACCAGCTGAAATGTAGAGCAATTAAATTGTTAGAAACTATGTGTTTCATGATATATAATTAGGCACCTAATTTCTTCAATTGTCAATATCATTGTTATTCGAAATTCATAATAAGTACAACAAATTTTTCCACTCTATACATGAAGTAAAAATTTATTTTTTTGCACTTTTCAACACTAGTGAATAAGTTTTTAGATTGTAATTTGAATTTTATCCAACTGACGTATCAAGTGATAAAAGAAACAGTATGACTTGTTATTCACAAAGAAGTAAATATGAACTGATTGCATCAAAGTCGAAAAACAAACATTGTTTCAAATGACCTCTTTTTGAAATTCCCATTCCTGATTTTTTAACATCATCAATTTTGACAGGTAACAAATATTTCCTATATGATGCCCACTTAATGGTGTCACTGCATACTACTATGAAACCACGGAAGGTACATATTTCAAAAATATTATGCAAAATGGTGATAATAAATGTAAAACCAATATTTGTATTATAAATCCGTCGCAAATAAAATATTCCCAATAACTAGTAGTACCTGATAATACCTACCATAACACATAAGTTTAATACACATTTGATTGATCATTTAATCATTATCTTACTTCTAGACGTATGTTGAAGCAAATATCTACTAAGCAAAAATTAGTTGCTACTTTACTACCAATACGAAGTGTTGGAGTCCAAAAGGGTTGTAGATCCTATAGTTATGTAGTGGGTATATCAGCTGAAAAAGAACCTGATTTCAATGAGATGATATTCCTCTCTTCTATGATACCTAGAATATGCCGTAATGTAAATAGGGTGTGTTATATTTTTGGAGACGTTGTGAAAGAGTCTGTACAAGATGTTTTAGGATATGAATTTCTCTTTTCAAGTATTTTTCTTAAAAATTGCCATGTATGAGCCATTTTCTCCAAATTCATGTGTTTTTCATCAAATTTTTTGAGTTGCATTTTATTCTTTATTAATCTCGAGAATCTTAATGCCAAAGGTACTACGCAGTTCATTATTTTTGTGCCAGTGAAAAACTAAACATTTCAAAATTGCACTTTCAGTGGAACAGAAAAATGAACCGTATAGGTAGTATCTTTTTTACTTTTTAGTAAAAGTAGTACATTTCAATGTTAAAGTTGAAAAAATAGGGATTGCGAAATGAACAAAAAAAGAAATGCCAGTAAAACAATTAATGAAAGTAGTGAAATCACTCCTACATTGAAATTTTCAATTCAATAATTGTCATTTCTGTTATACTATTGAAAAATTATTTTATATTCTGTCAGAGAATTCTGATTCTAATTTCATTTCCAGTTGAACCGAAGTAAGTTTACGATTGTTTTTTCAATACAAACATCGGCTCGGCTATATGTCCATTATGAATTTCAAATTTCTTATCCTAGAAATTAAACATAATTCATTTTTTGTATAAACACGATAACCTTTATGATTACAATTTATTCCATCCTCAATATTTGTGTGTGCGCGCGTGATAAATTTTCATTTTTTACTGTTGTTATTGTGAGTTGAAATTATATTAAAATATAGTTTTGTTTGGTGTAATGTGTAACAAGAATTCATTATATATGTTGATTTATTGGATATATAGATACTAGAATAGTTAACTTTCTGAGTTAAATAAATTGTATAGAAATTGGGGGTTACCAAATAAATAAATAAATGAATAAAATGAATTGACAGTATAATATTTGAATTGTTGCACATATATCAAATATAGCTGGTTTCTTTTCGAATGTAGGTACTTCAATTTGACTTGTTAGCAAGACACATTACTTAGTGTGTCAGTTGAGTGTGATTAGGATCAGGACTAAATAACATAAAATATATATTCCTATTCACTTGGTATTATGTAATTATCACCCTTAAGTTAATTTTGTTATGACTCATTTGAATTAAAGATACATTTTTGACCTACCAAAAGATCCTTACTGTATAAAAAATATTTTCTCTGTTGTTTCATTTATATTTTTTTTTGGATTTAGGTATTGTATGATAGTGGTTATGGTCAATCAATCAGTCAAATGCCTGTGATATTAATACCTTTACATTTTGACCGGGACCCCGCTCTGAGAATTCCTTCATGTCAAAGGTCAATAGTTCTTCGACCATTTTGTACACAAGACTACATGACTGGTGTTCCAGCCGTACCTGGGAAGGAACTGCCCATTGATGTGAGTGTTAATTTCATTATTTATTCATGCGTATTATTCATTGTCAATTGTAGGTGGTACATAAAATGGTCCAGGAAGTGACGCAAGTACCAGGAATCAGCAGGGTACTATATGATTTAACATCAAAGCCGCCAGGAACTACAGAATGGGAATAGACTTAACTGATTTTAGTACAATATTTTTGTTCATTTATGAGTTGTGTTTTCCCAAATTGAAAATGTTTGTTTAGTTGGAGATAACGAGCTCCCCAAGTTCGTGACGCTTTTATGAAAAAAAATCAAGTTTAAGTTTGGTTGTTATGTTGATTTAAAGATAATTTCGAGACTTGAAGAATATTTTTAATCTCAAATAATGTCTGTTCTGATTTATTACTGAAACATCGTCCATGTCTAGATAACTTTAAAATTTAATATTTTTATACTACGTTACAAATTGTTTACTCCCATTGGATAGAACCGCTCTTGGCAGAGAGGTTCAAAAATATGTTATTTTCTGTTATATTTCCATGTATTTCTTGTTGATATTACTTTCTTATGTTTTAAGTGTTCATGTTTTGTATGCTGTTCGAAATTTAACAATAAAAATTTGTTTATTAGCAAGTAGTTTATCACAAAACAAATAATTGAATTGAAAACATTCAATTTTCCTCCATATAAATAGTATCAAAAGTACATATTTCCCCTCTGTATGTATAATTTATACATAAGAGGCAACAAATACTGAGTAATAATTTTAGATCAAGAACTGATATTCTGTACCTGTGACATTTCAATAGTTGGTGTCTGCATTCGACTTTTAGTGATAAATGACTCTTTTCAAAAATCGATATTATTCATATCTACTTATTTTGTTGTCCCTGTAAGGGACAGTTTTTACTAATATTAATAGATGATTATCAGATTCATCAACATACAACTGTAAAGAACATACACAATACACATTAAACAAATTTTATATTAACAGTAACATCACCCAATAATATAATTATAGAATTTTCACAATAAATTTCACTTGAATCACATTTCGCTACATGGTAGCTTCAACAGTTACTGGTTACGTTCAAGTAACTGATAAAGCTACTGTGTAATAAAAAGTATATTAAATAAAATGTATTTTGAAGTATTCATAAATAACAATAAGACTTTTGTGAGATTTTCAAAAAACAATTTACAAAACCGCAACACATGTTTTACTATACAATAGCTTTCTTGGGCGTGAGGAGGCTATTTTATAGTAAATCACCTATTGTGGTTTGTAAACTGTTCAGTGAAAATCTCGATAAAGTATTACTTGAATACGTTATGGATTGACCCACGACAAACGATGGTTCAACAAAAGATGCAAGCACGCTGTCACCACAAAAAAATCTGCCTTAGGAATGGACTGCTTTTCAGTACAGTATGGACAAGTTCAGGTACCGTCTTCTTGAAGTTGAAAGATAACAGTATCACCAAGATTTCCTCCATTGATGATTTGGCTGAAGTTTGAGTTCCTATATGCTATCGTGAGAATTTATTTTTTTCCGAACTATTTTCTGAAGGATTTGGTTATATTCAATGTCAGTTTACTAGTTTTCATTATTCATTTTTTATATAATATATAACCGAGTTCACTATTAAAAAGGTTCAAATATTTTAATAGATTAAGAAGTGGCACATGGGTGCAGTTGGGATGTGTTTGGATTCAACTTTCTATTTAGAATTCTTCATTTTTAGTTTTCTATTTTTTTGTTTTATAATTTCTTATCATATGGAATAAAATAAAAATGCTTGGCAATTGTGATGAAAATTAATTTTTTAGCAATAATTATTTAATCAGGCAAGATAACTTCTCATTTCAATTCACTACTGAAGAAGCTATTCATGAAATCTTGAATGATATTAAGAGTCAAGCTTCAGGGGTTGATAATATTTCAATCAGAATGTTGAAACTTTGTAGCCCGTTTATAGATAAATATATCACACATATCATCACTTGTTGTTTTGAACGTTCATATTTTGTAAACCTGTGGAAAATTGCTGTTGGTCCTCCTCTTTTCGGACGATATTCGTCTCGCCAGGAGCTAAAAACTCCACGACAAATATCGTCTTGCTCTGGTGGTCGAGAAGGACTACATCAGGCGTATTAGCTTGTATGAGCCTGAGGGTGGAAAACGAATAGTTCCGAAAAATTCGGCACTCGTTCCCCATAACGGATTCAATATCCCCCGGAGCGTAGGACAACACCAGTGTCTCATCAATATTATTATTATTGTGGATATCTTAAAACATATTTTTCTGCTATCCTGCTATCCAGCTGTCACCCCCTCACAAACCATAAACCTTAGAAATCGAAATTAGTGTTGTTTCATGTCCTAATAATGAAACCATTTTTCATAGACTAGTCTTTATTTCAGCTCTCCAATCGAATATAAATAAAAAAAGGTGAGCAACTACTTTTTGCTACCGACAATGCTGATACGGTTTAGTACTTAGTACATGGGGTATATGAATCGACTGAGAATGAGTATATGTGACATCTCCCCTTTTTTATAAAATGATGAAATTGAAATGTTTTAAAAATAAATTAGTCTGTCTGGTTTTTTAACAGGTCTACCAGATGATGTTGCTTCAGGATTAGTATAGCAGTAACTGTTGTTATAAAAACAAATACTGCCGGTGGAGATGGATTAAATTTAAAACTATTGAAATTAGGCTGTCCACATATAATTCCTTACATCACACACATTATAAATTTTTGTCTTACTCATAATATTTGCCTGAACTTTGGAAAAGAGCCGTTGTGAAAATATTGCCTAAAAAGTCAAATCCACTTGAATTCAAAGATTTGCGTCCAATAAGTGTCTTGACAACTTTATCGAAGGTTAGGGTAAGTTAGGTCAAAAGTGAGTGGGTCTATTCGACCCTCCACAGCAACCCGCAAGGGTTTATTGTGGCTCACACCTATTCACACTCGACCAAATAAACCCAGCTTTTTAACTAAGCCGATTAGTTTGTATGGTGAGTGGTCTTTCAGGTCAGACGGTAAGAGTACGACCCTGCCGAACTCTAAAAACCTGATTCGGTCCCCAGCGGGGCAGGCACAAAATATATGCTCTGCTGTTTCATCGATAATGAGGTAGTCGGATAGTACCCGCGACAACCTTCCCATATGAGGGTTTTTTCACGTCAGCTACACCTGACGTTGCCTTCGATTCAACCGTGCAGGGCTTGTTCGCCTCTGGTTTTGGTAAATCATCACTTGAGCGCAAACGTTTGCTATCCTCTTCATGGGGGGTTTGTTACTCCACCTGGGACAGATTCTGCGTACGCCGCTCAAAAATTTGGTGCAAGGCGGTTTCATAAGGTACCCCGCTCTTGAGGAGACGACTCAGTCGTTTCAGGAGACGACTCAGTCGTTTCCTGGCTGCACCACCAAACCTTTTTTTTAGGTTCAGTTATTGGATCAGGAGTTGGAGAGTTGAGAAGCTCTCGTTCCTGATCTAAATTTACAGGGAGGTCAGTTTTGGAGTCGTAAGCTAGACATCCTTCTCCTCTGTAGACTCAGCGTCAGAAAGAATTTTTAAGTTAAGTTAAGAAAGAAGGTCAATCGCGGCAGAGCCCCGCATTACCGTGTTGCCTAGACGATACTACGACGAGAGGGCGCCCGGTATCTCGAAGGTTCCGTAGAGACAGCTGAAAGGCACAGTGTCATTCATCCTCTCGGCACGGATACATACACCTTAGGATTAAGCCATCGTTGGGATGCCATTCAATTTGGGAATAACAGAACCACAAGTGATTCTGTCATTCCCGTATGCAGCGAGGCTACGTGGAAGCAGGCATCCGAGGGAATAACAGAACCACAAGTGATTCTGTCATTCCCGTATCCAGCGGGGCTACGTGGAAGCAGGCATCCGATGGCTGGTTTGATCAACCCCATATATACTTCCTGTCTAGTGAAATCTCTTCAGATTTGTAATGTAGGTACACTTGTATGCGGATGATACACAAATTTATCATAGTGTCCAGGTAGTGGAGTCATGTACCCTTATAAATGAGGAACTTGATAGGTTCATTAAAGTTGCAGAGGATCACTGTCTTAGTATTAATTGCACTAAATTTAATGTTGATATTTTTGGCAATAAAAACAAACGAGTTGAGATTTCTGATAGTGTAAAGATTATAATAAAAAATGAAGTACTTCAAAACGTAAGTGAAGCCAAAAGTTTAGGTATAATATTGGACACCAATTTAAAATTTGAAAAATACATAAATCAGCTTATTCAACGTGCATATTTCACTCTTTAAACTGTATATGGCAATAGATATATTTTTCCTATTCAAATAAAGTCAAATTTGTGTTTGAGTCATTAATACTGTCCATATTCAATTATGCAGATGTACTCTATGGTCCATTCTTGTCCAGCCAATATCAAATAAAAATACAAAAAGTACAAAACTCATGCTTATGATTAATATTTGGTATCCGCAGAAGAGAACATATTTCACAGAAATTGAAAGATAATGGTTAGCTAAATTTGGACAATAGAAGGAGATTACATGCTGCTGGTTTTTTTTCAAAAAATTATTTTCGATAAAACACCCTCATATTTGCACAGAAAAATCACCAATCGATCCGACATACATAATCTAAATATCCGATATAAAGGAACCCTTTCACCGCCAATCTCCAAATTAGAAATATTCAGGCGTAGTTATGCTTATCAAATCTGTTCAATATACAATCAGAGCCCTACCATGTTCAAATCCTACAGTTTGCAAAGATTCAAGAAGGCCTATAAGAAACACTTGTTTTCAATGCAATCCTGATATACGTACGATGGAAATTAAATTAGAAGTGGCTGTAATTGTTTAACTTTCATTCTTTAATATTGTTAAGTTCAACACACTCAGCGATATATAGGTATAGGTTAAGTGGAAGAACAGTTTATGAGCTGATTTTAAATCATCTTATAAAGTGAACTTCGCCTTTTGCTATGGGCCAAATTCACATTATTTATGTATTCTTTTCATTCTATATATGGAAGCAATAAAGTCGTTTATTATTTTTTTTTATACTGAAGTATGCGCTGGTCAGGCCCTATACCCCGAAGCCCCGATACGTTCAGGAGGGCGCGCCAGCATTATCAACCGACTAACACTCCCCCAACACCGTGGGGTAAGTGATAATTGCTTCCGAGAATCATGTGCCCTGAGCAAGCACAGTGAGCCAAGAATGACAGCCTTCTGCATATGCTTGGTTAAGATTTCTGCCTTAGTGCGGCAGGCCGGTATGATTTTAAGATTCGAGAGTAGAGAGGGCATCATTCCACCAAGGACTACAATAATCAGAACAACCATCTTGACAGAGTTGTCTGGATAGAGTCTACGGAGTTCGAAGAGAAAATCTCGATATTTTATCCGTTTTTCCTCCTCTTTTCGGACGATATTCGTCTCGCCAGGAGCTAAAAACTCCACGACAAATATCGTCTTGCTCTGGTGGTCGAGAAGGACTACATCAGGCGTATTAGCTTGTATGAGCCTGAGGGTGGAAAACGAATAGTTCCGAAAAATTCGGCACTCGTTCCCCATAACGGATTCAATATCCCCCGGA